TTGATTTTTTGCCAGCCGCATGGACTGTTGAATGCCATTCGGTAGCATTAATTGCTGTCATCTAAATTCATATTACACGTGGCCCCATTTTAATTGCCGTCCAGCACGCGAATACTGTGTACATTGCAAATAATTGCCAGAACTTTCTAAGCTCCCGTTTCATTTATCGCAATTTACTATTGACATTATTCTCAGTTATTCCAAACACTTACAATGCAGCCATGAAATGAGCTCGTTTTGAAACTTGTTCTAAATAACCACAAAAAGTGAAAATTGCACAAAATATATATGTATATACATCTTGCAAGGTATGCAAAGTTAAATCATTAAATTGAAGATTAGGATTATTCATCTTTTTAAGTTTGAAATATTCTTTCATTTTTTCTATATTCATATTAAAATTCTCGTATTGGTCATAAGGTCGACTCAATACAAGTTATCAAGTTATATTAACATGTGTAATTATCGAATTTTTCCAAGATTTCTAAACATACTAAAGTTAAACGCTAATATAAAATTGCAATACAATATATGACAAATGTTGCGAAAAGCTTCACCAGCTAGCTCTTATATGTGGCTGAGGACTTTCATATATTCACTAAATAGAAGTATACATGAATTGATTTTGTGATATGTCCGTCTTACTGTAGTCTTAGTATAAAGTATAAATATACATATTGCGCACAAGCCCAAAAGGGCGATTATATTTCTTAATATTTCTTTAGATTTAATATTTCTTAAATTCGAAATGTATGTATGTTTATATATATATATGTATGTATGTATGCATATATAACTTATTTCATATGTTTAAAAATATTTTATGAGAATTAACACTTAGTTGAGCATTTCTTGGAAATATTGATGTGGACTTTCTGCTTTACCGGAAGATCAATAGAACGCTTATCCAACAAGAATAGCATTTTACTCTTTGCATTTGGCTTTCATCAAAGGAAACAAGTGAAGATGATCCAACGACACGTCAGCCATTTTCTGGCCTACTATCATTTATCGTGACTGGGCAGCTGGCATACTTAGCTATATAGAGCCGCATTTGGGCTTATGCGTATAGGAATTGGGCCGTAATGGCAGCCGTTAGCGGTCGTCGCATTTATTGTCGGGGCGTTGCCGTGGGTCTGGGCTTTAATTAGCCTTGAGTGCGTGTTTTGCGCCAAAAGGCATCAACAAATTGTTACATAAGCCACGCGCCAACAAAGCGGTTTAAGGGCCTAAACATTGTCGTCACTCGGCCAGCATTTGCAATTGGCCAATTTACGCAGCAAAAAACACAGAAAAAACTTAAATTAAATTGAAAGGGCAAGAGTAAAACGTTGAAATAGCTGAGAGGACGCGAGGGCGTACTTTTGACTTATATGGATATGTTAGCGCTTATTATGACCCTGAGTGTTGCTGCAGACCAGGTCGCCGAGTCATGGCAAATGTTAAGGTTGCCGAAGTACAACCCGCCGAAAAGAACTGGAGACCAAAAGCGATTTTAATTCGCGTGTTTACGACAAAATCGCATGTGAAGCGCGTTAAAGGAGCCAGCAGAAGCAAAACAGCAAGAAACAACGCAGAAAAATCGTGAATTTCAAAATATTTTCGAATACATGAAAATATCTGCAGTCACATTGAAGCAAAAGCAACACTGAGGCCAAAGATAAGCAATGACAGATATGCAGATACCCCGCAACAGTCAGAAGTAACTTTGTACCCTTAGTTCCATCGAAAATTGAGCTATTATTATATCTTATTTATTTTACTATTGTAAGAGCTATAATTAAAGATTATTATACTAGTCCCGCTGCGTCTTTTTAATGTCAGGGTCTTGATATTTTGAATATACCAGTGAAAAAATAAGAGCTACCATAAATCGATAAGGGCCACCTGCAAGGACTCTACAAATAGGCAGGCTACCTTAAAGCACCAACGAACGGGATTTACGCTTATTTTTAGTTCAAATCAATCTAACTATACTTAGAATATTCTCTTTTGGTGGGGTAACTAACCAAATATAATCTAAAATATTAAAGAGTCAAATAATCCTTTTTAAGCATTATAGAGCATAGGAAATAAAATAAAATATAAATTATTAAATTATAAATTAATACGTGCACATTAGCATAGTTTCACTGTAGTCACCCTGTTGGATTGGGCAACTACTGTTTGAATCCTTTTTAAATCGCCTGCACTTTTCAGTGCCGCCAACATTTGGCGCATTGTTAAATTTGTGTTATGAATGGAATTTTGAACACAATTCGACTGTTCAGAGACTGTTGTTTATTTGTGTTTGTATTTGTGTATGTGTGTGCGATTGAGCGAAGAAAGTTTGCCTTCAATTCGTTTTTATATTCTTCACTTTTCGCTACAAGATGATTTCGCTTATTATTTTTTTTGCTCGACAGAACTTGAAGGTTTCCAACCGAAAGTCAAAATGAAAAGTTTGCGCATTTTATTGTTTGATGAGTTTTGAATGGGGTGTGGCCGAAGGGTGTGGCGATTGTGAAAATTGTTTTCAATGGATATTTCATCGCTCCTCCACTCTGCTCTTTACTTTTTCAACAAATCATCCATAACGAGTCGCGAAATTGATTAATGATGGATGAGTGCAAAGCTGCATTCTATTGAAAGCAGGGAAGCACCAACATTTCAATCTTTAATATGTAGTAAAAAGTTTTGAGTTGCTTTGTCCAGCTGAATGATGTGTGGCGTTTGGTATATTGATTGAAGTAAGTTTAAGTACCGCCATATTAAGAGCTGAAAATAAAATGCTGAGCGGTATACTATAATATTGTATTCAAATACTTTTAACTGTTGTGCTCTAATAATATACAAATATTTCTATCCTGAATTCATTTAATGGGTCAATTATGAAAATATATTCTGACAGAAGAAGGCGTGGCATATCAAATATTCTGCATCTTGATTATGTCGTTGTTATGGAAATTATAAATGAACGAAGGATCTATGTATCTTCCACTATATCATTCTGATTTATTTAAATGTAATATTTGGAAAATGTGCTACATGTTAATATACGCATATTATTTTTAAATACATTAAAACGATATTTTATATTCATAAAATTTTATTTGCTTTCTATAAATATTTCAGTATGTTTTTAACAGAGTTTCTTGAATATTTGATAATTTCCACATACATTGCTGTATCAGTTTGTCGGGGCATGCCAATGAGAACTTTGCAATACGATGTTGATCTATTTTTAAGATTCTTATTGATAAGTGTCGATAACTAAATACCTTTTTCTCACGCTCTATACTCCACACACACACACACACACACACACACACACATCCCTGACAATCCACTTTGCAGCTTAGCAAATAGTTTTTAGCATTAACGATGCGCGTCTACCATAAATATTCATATTGATTTGAATGCTGTTACTGTGTTTATCGATTATCGTCGTGTTCCTTGCAGTAAATCCGTCTTTATACATAAGTTTAGATAAAACGAGAAGTTATAAAATTAAAGAGCCCATGAGAACATGTTGTGCATTGCCAGGGATATCAGCAACACGTAACTAAAATGCAACTAATTGAAATGTTAATTTAAATCAGAGTACACGTAGAACAACAAACTGATTGTGAAAATTTAGCCTACTAGCCTAGTATGAACCAAGGATTGTCAATCGTTATGTATGTGCATGTCTCTAAGTGAAAATAGAAAACAGATACGCAAGCAAATAGTAAGATTTAAAACGTGCTTTAGAAAGCTTCCATATTAAACTGAAGTAAAAAGCGAAAAGCAAAATATTCAGATAAAATTGAAACACATATATATTCTATTCAATTGTTTACATGGCTTGGTATGTGTGTTTGTGTGTGTGCATTAGGCTTTAGACGCATTTTGTACGCCAATGGACACTAGTTAGACAATTACCAAATAAATATTTCTATGTATACATACTCGCATGTATTTAGCAGATAAGCAAGATACACTTTATGTATATACATAGCTAATCCAGGCAGCTTTTAGCTTATAAAACTATATATACAAATATATATATGTGTATAAACAGAGAAAAGTAATTTAATTATTTTTATCATACGGCCCGAGTGGACAGGACAGTTGACACAAAGGATACACACAGACAATACGCCCCGAAAAGTATGCACCATAAGTAATTCGAGTGTGAAGAGAGCATATTTTTGAAATGTTTATAGGCAGAGAGGATCGTTAGAGTCGTTGCACGTATTTATAGAAAATCAAAGCCCAAATATAACATTTTAAAATAGACACCAAGCGAAATACAATTTTTTGACATATATATATATATATATATACTTATATATTTTTTGATAAACCAACAACAACAAGAAGAAGAACAAGAACAAGCAATGCACAATATATGTATTCCCTAGCCTAAGTTAAGTCTGCGAATTGTTTTTGTATGATTTTGTTAGTTTATATACACGTATATATGTATTCGAAGATTGTTATACCAATGAAATATTTACTTTTGATGGTTTCAATGAGGTTTATTTCAAAGAACGTTTTGTACATGTCACTCGGTTGAAGCTTAAGCAAGAAATCCAAAGTACAATCATTTTTGTCAATACAGACACAAAACAGTAAGAAAACGAATGAAATCAGATATTATAGATACTACACTAAAGCAACCTAGGCGAAACAGTTAGAGAGTATAGTGACATCATGTTAGGCATATATACAGGGACAGATAAGAAGAAGAACAACAACAACAAGAACAACTACAACATAAACAAATTTTGCTAAGAACTTTAACGGTTATTTTTCCAAAAACACGCTTTATAAAAGATAAATTAAAAGAAAATAAGAATTACTTAAAGTGAGGTTAGAAACAGTAAAAGTGAGGTTAGAGTTGCACGAGTAATGATAAGGCTAGTTGTGCTTAGAATTGAATTGGCTAAGGTGAGATGATATAGTCTCATGAGAGAAGGTTCGAATCGACTTGATATTCAAAAGTACAGATTTTTAATAGTAATAATAATAAAGCGAGGTTAAACTAAAAAACAGTTAGCTTAAACTGCCCAAGAAGTGAGGTTAGCTCTACAGTCAGGTCAGGCAGCTGACTCCATTCAGTCTAGTTTAGTTCAGTTTACAACTGCCAAGCATTGCAAATTAGGAAGTCGAAGCGCAAACCGATGCTAGATCTAAACTAAGTGAAAGTAGAAACCGAATGTTAATTAAGCGTAAGCCATAGAGTAGATCCAGAGCCGGTAAGCCTAAGCAGTAAGCAACATGTATGCAGCTGCTGGCGGCGCCTCCTTGGCCTCGCGCCAGGCGCGCCAGCGCCAGCGACAGCAGAAGAAGAACCAACAGCTACAAGCGAAACTACATCCACCGAAACCAGCTGGAGCCGCCGTCGGCCTCGGCGCCGCTGATCATGGCGGCGCCTCGACGCCGACGCGCAGCCAGTCGCGGCAATTCCACCAGCTGCCCACCAGCTACCTGCGGGCGCCGCAGCAGCCGCAGGGCCGCAAGCTCAGCGCCACCTACACGCAGTCCCGCTCCCTGCTGCCCATCGAGGAGGGGACGGGCGGCTCCGACACGCAGTCGGTGCTCCAGCTGCGCATGCACTCGCACGCGCACGCACACGCGCACTCACACTCGCACATGCACGGGCACGCCCACGGCCACGCCCAGGGGCTGCAGGGCCACGGGCACAGCCATCTGCACCACGGCCACGGGGGTCCCGTGCAAACGCCCTATCAGCAGTTCGCCTCATCACACGGACGCGTCTCACCGAAGCTCGTGCATCGGCACAGCGGCAGCAGCGCTGGCTTCCCCCCCGGTGCGGCGGCAGCGGGACAGCTGCACAAGTCGGCAACGGCGACGCTGCCGCTGGTGTCCCAAATGGAGGAGACGCCGCCAGTTACTCCTGCGTTGCCATCGGCTGCGGTCGGCGTTAAAACGACGGCGATGTCGATGCTGGAGACAGACGCCACGCCCAGCACCTCAGCGGCGGCGGCCGCCGCCGAAGCCGCCGTCTCCGAGCCCCAATTGGAGCTGGCCGGCGCGGCGGCCATGTTTGTAGCTCACCACGATGCGATCATTGTAACGCCGGCCACGCCCATGGCCTCGCCAGGGCACGCCGCCGCAGCGGCAGCAGCAGCAGCAGCAGTGAAGCTGCGGCGAGCCGACGACGACGACGAGCCCCACGACTCGGCCGAGCGCCAGCCCCTCACAGCCTACGACGAGGACGAGGCCATGCAGCCGCCCACCGGCCCCTTGGAGCGCAAGTGCAGCGTCTATCGCATGCGTCGCAGCGACGCCTTCGAGCAGGGCGACCTCGGCGTCACCAGCGGCCTCAAGCGGCAGCTGCGCGAGCTCCAGTTCCAGCAAACCCAGTACGAGCCCCTCGTCAGCGATGAGCCCCAGCTGCTCTTCAAGGGGCGCAAGTTCCAGCTGTGCGCCTACTGCGAGGAGGGCATCTGCGTCTGCGAACACATCGAGGTAAATGCGGTCCAAGTCAAGCCCCAGCTTGCCCAACTCTCTATGTGTGTTGTCTAGTATCTGTATTTGTATGTGTGTATGTGTGTGTGTGCGCGTAATCTTAACTGTAATCGTAATCTATTGCTAGCTAACCAATGCATGCTCCCCACTCCAAGTGTCAGCTGTTTTCCTTTTTGCAAGAGCTTGAACTGAGGTTGGCATGCCCCAGCGAATTGTCATATACATCGTATACAGTGGACCCTACTATACGTTGAACAATTCAAATTAAATTTAATTATTGGTAAATGACGAGCAAGTTGCTCAACCAGAGATGAGCCAAAGCTTATCCAAGTATCACAAATATATAATATATAATTAATACAAAAATATTTTATAACTCGCTTTTTATTATCTTTTTTCTATTTTTCGGTTGCTTATTTGATAAAATTATTCAAAAGTTAAATTTATTAGCATGTCATAACGAAAAACTACCGCCAAACTGAAAAGGGAAACTTTTAACTCCTTTGAAGAGGGTATAATAAATAACCTATAATCTTTTGCCAAAACTCTAAATGTGATATTACAATGTAATTACTAATGTGAGAGTGGAAATGCAGATGGGTGAACTGCACCGATCCACTGAACTGTTCTCCCTCTCTGAGCTGCTTCAAAAGTAGCTGAATGAAAGCAGCGCTCTTTGTGGCACGCAGATATAATGACTTATATGATATATTCATTTGATCTCCAACTCTTATCTAATGACTTCTTTATTGCTATAGGAAGACATAAAGCTGTTAGTAAAGGAACAGCAATTTTGTTTTATTTATATATATATTAGAGGTCGAGAGCAATCAAAGCAAGCTTCTTTATGCTCTGAATGCAACCTAAAATAATAATATACAAAAACTGTCTTTGGTATTTAGTCGGATCATAGCGGTATTTGTATCTTCATGTTGAGCTACCATGAATACCATAGCGAAATACTTGACATACTGAAATGAGTAAGAGTATACTCAAACTGGGAGTACTCGACTATCTATAAAAAATTCTTGGTTCCTACAAGCATAAACAGTTAATAAATTCGATAAATTACTGAATACTGAATGTGTATATAAATACTGATACCAATGAATAAAATATATATAAATTTTTTTTATTTATATTAAAAGCATATAGTTGTGACTATATGTATTTATTAATATATAGTCTCCTTCTCTAAAAATAATAATAACACTTGAATAATCTGTTATTTTATTGAAATATCAAATAATTTATAAATCGAAACGAATTTACGAGACTACATATCGAATTACTAAGCTTTCGCTTATGTGGACGTAGATCATGATCAGGATTCAATTATTATTCTGGGTCCGTCACGCCTCCTGCTGATGTGTCCAAAATGTACTCTAAATTATGAAATTTAGTTCGCTTTGGTCAATTTTCGTGGCGTTTCATGTCTTCACTTTTTATGTACATATACATATACATGTGTATGTATGTGTATTGCTGCATTGATTGGCATATGTATCTACAAAAATGCTCTGCTTCATCTTTGAAGGCAGCTGCTGCCAAAGTCAACAGCTTCGATTGACCCACTCGGAAAAGCACAACAAAATGTGTCCTTTCGCTCCTTTCGGTTGGGTTCGTCTAACATTTTTCCTATAGCTAACCTCGTTTTGAAGCGATGCCATAACTGGCAACAACAACAACAACAACAACAAATCGGAAGCGCATAATGTGCCTTTGTATCGGGCTGATAATGCGACGCCTACTAAAAGCTTTGGCAAGCTCTAACATACGAGCGCCCACATCTTGCCACGCCCCCAAGCAGATGCCAAATATTGTGTAAACGGCAGTCCCCAAATGTGTGTCATAAAAGTGCAGCAGTCGGTGGCTTATGATGTGTAACTGTGGTGCCATGCGGCGGTGCAGTGGGGCAGAGCTACAGGAGTGCAGTGGCTCAGTGGCTCAGTGATGCGGTGATGCAGCAGCCGAGCGGTTCAGAGCTGAGGCTTTAAAGTTTCCCTCTTAACGAGCTCCAAAGCAACAAATTAAAAAACTTGACGCTGTGCAATTATTTGACTTGCATAAGCAACTATAAAATAAAGCAACAAAAAGCGAAAAGCATGTCAGAGAGCCGGCTAGCTGCGAGCTGACCGACCGTCAGATACCCTCTACTTGGAAAATGTAATTATTTGGCAAAAGCCTTTTTGTTTGATGTTTTACAGTAATGAATGCGTCCCATGCTAAGAATCTACATAGAATTTCTTGTATTATTCTAGCTGCGAGCTGATCGACTGTCAAATACCATTAAATTTTATATGTATTTTATATGCTATACTACTTGATGAATGCATCTTTATTCTTAGCTAATTAATAGCTGTAAAATGCTAAAAGTATTTCAACAGACAAAAATACGTATTACTTATTTCACTAAATACCAGCTTATTAAAAATGAAATTTTTTTACTTTCTCTCTCTCTCTCTCTCTCTCTCTCTCTCTAACGGTCTCCCAATGTCTCAATGATCTATATGTTATTTGTACTATATATATAACTCCTTTATTGTCTGTGACTTTACGTACTTATCAGATACTTATCAGATGCAAATAAAACATTTATATGTAATACCTCATATTAGGTCTAGGTCTAAAAAGACATATCTTCGGCCCGGGCTGCCGTTACTGCTCTCTGCTGTATCGCAGCACAGCCTCTCTACAGCTCACGCTGCTTACAGAGTATTAAAATTGCACAAATTAAACAAAACTTTTGCACAAAACAAAATCGCTTTACCCCAACTTAGTAAAATGGTTCCACAAAAAAAATAAAAATAAAATAAAATGAAATAAAAACCAAAAAAGGAAAGCAAAACAGGAAAAAACGAATGGCGGCTAAAATTTATTATATTCAACGCCCACCCACGTCGCGTTCTCCCTTGCACCAGCCTTGTGCTGTGCCACCCGGCTCCTGCACGTGCTGAGTGGACACTCAAGTTTTTAAGAGAGTCATAGATATATATGTAGTACGTACTACAAGTAGGTACTATATATGTGCTATAGTCATGCTAGATGTATACATATATATACATATATATAGATATAGATATATATGTTTGTGTATATGCTTCCCTCACACAGCTTGCACAAAAACAACAGCTAGTAAATTAGCTGGAAAATAGTGGAAAAAGTGTGCGGCAAAATGGCGGACGCTGAAAATGTGAAAAATAGAACGAAAAGTGCAACAACAATAGCTGCGAAAAAAGTCATAAAAGCAGAAGAGCAAAATGAAAATGAAAACGAAAATGAAAACAAGTGAGAAAGCTCTAGTCGAGACAGCTCGACTACGAGATCCCCTGAACCC